ACCGCCCCGCACAGTTTTTAACATTGATGAGGAGACAACATCTATGTCTTGATCTTCTTTTTCACCAAGTTTTACAGAAGTTGATATTCTAGGAGCCCGGACCGCGTTTTCGTGCGGGGCCGCCATCTTGGATTTGGAAATGTTGAAAATCTGACCAAAAATGCGAGTTTTCCGTCGAAATACACCTCCTAATACCGAATTTCACAAAAATCGATGGATCGGAAGCCGAGATAACAACTTAGACCACGATCGCCATTTTTTATTTTTGAATTTTGAAAATCGGACCTAAAATTCTAATTTCCCGTCGAAATACACCTCCTATTACCGAGTTTCACAAAAATCGATCGATATCAGGAAGCGATGTAGCATTTTAGACCACGGCCGCCATCTTAAATTTTTGAATTTTGAAAATCTGACCAAACATTCTAGTTTCCCGTCGAAATATACCCCCGGATACCGAATATCACAAAAATCGATCGAACAGGAGCCGGCTTAGCATTTTAGGCCACGGCCGCCATCTTGGATTTTTGAATTTTGAAAATCTGACCAAACATTCTAGTTTCCCGTCGAAATATACCCCCGTATACCGAATTTCACAAAAATCGATCGATGAGGAGCCGACTTAGCATTTTAGGCCACGGCCGCCATCTTGGATTTTGAGATTTTGAAAATCCGACCAAAAATTCGAGGCCCCGTCGAAAAGTACCCCCGGATACCGAGTTTCACGAAAATCGATCGAACAGGAGCCGACTTAGCATTTTAGGCGACGGCCGCCATCTTGGATTTTGAAATTTTGAAAATCTGACCAAAAATCCGAGTTTCCCGTTGAAAAATACCCCCGCTTACCAATTTCCACAAAAATCCTTTGAAAAATACCGCCTAAAACCTCATATTTCGTCTATAAGGCAGTGACGTCACGCAACAGGATTGAACCTGTTCGGCGCGATGCACGTAAACAACCGCGTATCTCCAATGTAATACTATAGGGAGAAACAACTTTTCGCTCTTGCGGGCGTCCTAAGCAGCGGATTTGAATGGGAATAATTTTAAGCAACTCCTCATTACAATAGCTAAGCGTGTACCAATTTTAAAGGAAATCGCTTCGGCCAATTTTTATCTAGGGGGGGCATAGTGAGTGGGAACAGCAGCTTTATATAGAGTAAAATAAATAATAAATAATAAATTAGAGAATGAACCACTAGACAAGGTACGAATTTAAGCAATCTGATACATTTTTTTTTGACCAGAATTTCACGTAAAACACGATTGGCACAACGAAAATGACTGAAACTAACTCCTAACGAAGATATTAACGTTTTTATTTCACATTGGTTACGAGGAATTTGAACTGCGTTGCACTACAACGGTTTCAGCAAGCTTTTCAATCGAGCAATGTTCATTTCCCACCATGCGTTGTTCAAACTACGAGCAATTTGCCACAGCTGAGCCAAAGCGTCAAGGTTGAGGTTGCCAGATTTGTATATCGCAGAGACTGTCATGATGACGTTTAGCGCGCGATGTGCATTATGTAGAGCATTGAGTTTTAATGAGCGGGTAGTTTGAATTCACGCATCAGGAATAATAAAAAATCTTCGTAAGGAGTTGATTTCGGTCATTTTTGTTGTGCGCATCGTGTTTTACCTGAAATTTTGGTTAAGAAAAATGTATCAGATTGCTGAAATTCGTATCTTGTCTAGTGGTCCATTCGTGAATCTCAACCCCTCATGACCTCATTTGTATATATCCCGGCATTAACTGTTATTTCAACCACCCTAAATGACATGAGAGAAATGTATTGAATTATGCTCATGACTGTATATGGGGCAGAAAGCGAGTCATCAACCCTCGAGTTAGGGAAAAAAGTTTCGCGTTCTTTCGGCGGAGGGTAATTTTCAACTCTAACTCGTTCAAAGCTTATAAAAATTTATGGAATACTCTCGCGTCTCACTTCCTCGGACTGACGTTAAATACATGTTTTCAGGCAACGTTGCCTGTACGTCTAAGAAAATTCAGAGAATATCAAAGAACGTGTAAGTGCTGATTGAATTGACTCTGAAAAACGCGAAAGTTTAAAATGAAAGTGACCTAAGAAATCTGGATTCACATGGAAAGAAAAATATTCAGAGTGAACTTTGTTGTTTAAATGTTTATGATCGGTACCTTTTACTTAATATTAGAATCTCTTGACTCGAAGAAATTCCTCATCTTTTAGATGATGATTCCCACACTTACTTTGACCTTTTTGTAGAATTGCCAAGATCAGGTCACTCCCTGGAATCTCATCCCTCTGAGCAGGATTTATCCCCATACATTGATTGCGTTTCTTCTTGTACTTTGTGTGTAAAACCCATCCTGTGAAATTTCTTGAATTCATGCGTTCCACAACCTAAAATGTAAATCCCTCCCCCACCCCTTCCAAACACTTGAAATCCATTATGAAAAAGTTTCCCCGAATATCAAGCATTATATCGTCATACTTTTGTGAATCATATTTTTCCACCATCGTCTATATTTGACGTTCCCCCTACAAATGTATTTTTTTCTGCAACATGATTTACCCATTTTATTACAAAATATGTAATTTAATTGCAGAGGTATGAATGACCAAAGTTGCTACTGCACCCCAATAAAATAAACAAATTCTACTACTACTGCACTGAGTATGATGATCTGTATCAATTGACTCACGTATATTTTTAAAGGAGAAATGATCTTTGCTCCAATGGCGCAAATGAGATCGTTGGGTTGGTTTAACTCAAAACCGGTTTTTTTTAAATCCATGGTTGGCGCTTTCTATTATTTCTATTGCACCTCTGCTTTTCCTTTTTTTTAAAAAAAAATTAAAAAATGTATTAGTTTTTTCAAGAGACATTTGCGAAAATTTTACTAAACGCTGAGTTAGATAGATAAATATTTTATTTCGACCAAAAATACAGGGATTTCAAAAGAAGTCCTGAAAAATTTTCGACGTAAAATTTTACAGAAGTATCTCGATACCCTAAGTTTGCTCAGAAACATATCCGAAAAGAGTTATCTGAGACATACTTTTCGAAAGTTGTTCTGAGAGTTTTGAAAAATTCTGTTTCACGGTACTTGTCACTAGGACAAGTGTTGGAGGATTGGTTACTTGCCCGGATGTGGCTACCGCCACTCATGATTCCCACGTACAATTTTACAGAAGTATCTCTTTACCCTAAGTTTGCTCAGAAACATATCCGAAAAGAGTTATCCGTAAAAGAGTTATCCGAAACATACATTTCGAAAGTTGTTCTGAGGGTTCTTAAAAACTCTGTTTTACGGTACTTGTTTCAAGGAATACCTAGATATCTCACAACAATGACATCACTCTAAAATCCGCAGAATTCGGACCAATTTTTCCAATCTGACAACCCTGCTCCGCATAGAACGAATGAGGAAAAGTAGAGGCGGGCGAAAGTAAAGCACCGAAAAAAAAAATTTGCTGACTGAATGTTTCTCGAGTTGAGGACTCCTTCAGTCTGGCTTCCCTCCTCTCGGNCCCCCTCCCCAAACATCCCCCAACCACCCTCCCCCCACCGTCACCCCTTTCGGGAATTCGGGAGGTCTCATAAATCAAAGCCTCGCGTCAAGAAGCATTTGATAAAGGCAACTTAGTTTTCCCGCGCGGATTTTCCTTGAGTCTCGCCGAGTGGTGACTCGCTCAGGGTTGCCAATTTTACGCGACAATCTGCCGATATTACCGTGATTTTCCTCAGGAAATTTAAGGTTTTACGACGAAGTTGCAACGAGGGGTGCTACGTCTCTGCTGCGCGCCACTTAAAGTGATACTCTGAGCCTGCCGCCTCGCGTATGGCGTAGGAGACACGGAGTATGGGACAACGAGAGGGATTTCCGTTTGAGTCAATAGATTTTCGTGAAATGAATATTTCTCGCGTTTCTTGCACAAATTTTCCGATCGAGAGTGAGTTCCTATCATTTGAAAAAGACGGGAACATTGCGAGCTTAGCTGAAGCTATACACCTTCCACAAGTTGAGTAGCGAATTGAAAGTAATGTGCAGGGAAAGTTCCGTCAACATATTCCTTAACCAATTTCAATATTTTCACTTTGTGCGTAGCTTTGTCTATCAATGAAGATGTTGCATGTGTGAGGAATTTACGATTTGACTATTGATTCTTATGTGAAAGTTCGCAAGAAACACGATGGTGCCACTGGTTTTCTCTGAAACCATCTCCCAAGCTTAAAAAAGCTCTCAAGTTGAGGCCAAAATGGCCGGGGATTCCCACGCTATCCTGAAAGTCCACCTCTACATCAAGACAAACTCTCCATGCGAAGATAGGGAGCAAATACATTGACAAGGTTGCCGTGTTTTCAGTTTTGGAGTCCCCAAATAAAGTGGCAGCCCTGTCAATGTATTTGCTCCCTATCTTTGCATGGAGAGTTTGTCTTGATGTAGACGTGAACTCGCAGGGTAAGGTGGGATATCCCCTCCATTTTGGCCTCAACTTGAGAGCTTTTTTGAGCATGGAAGTTGATTTCAGAAAAAACCAGTGGCACCATCGTGTTTCTCGCGAAATTTTACATGAGAATCAATTGTCAAATCGCAAATCCCTCACACATGCAAAATCTCCATTGCTCCATACTCCCTACGTTTTCTTTGTCTATAGCTTTGTGTATCAATTTCCAGCGGGCCGATTATTGAAATTGATAGACAAAGCTATAAGCAAAAAAGACAAATGAGATATGGAGGGATCCTATTGGTGGAAGCGGGTGGCTGCAATGGCCAAGGAAGGTAGGTAACAGACTGAGTAACGGCAACCCTCGAGGGCCCCGATAGTTAGTCAATAATTTTCTCTCCTAGTCTATAGGAGCCACCCATTTCAACCGATAGGATAGCTGCATACACCCCATGTTTTCTTTGTCTATTGCTTTGTCTATCAATTTCAATAATCGACCCGTAGAGGCCTTTTTGTCTTTTTGCTCTTACACGTCTCACAGGATCCCCTCCTTTCCATGTTCCAGGTTGAGAACAAAGACTGGGCCGGCGTGACCTCCGGCGGCTACTCCTACATCGACGCCAACGGGCTAGTGCAGGCCGTGAACTACGTCTCGGACGACGTGAACGGCTTCCGCGTGGCCGCCTCCAACCTCCCCGTCGCCCCTCCCGCGCCGGTGGTGCCACTCCCCGTCGCCCCGCAGCCGATCGCCGTCCCCGCCGCACCCCTCCCTGAGCCGGTCCAGGACACGCCCGAGGTCCAGAAGGCCAAGGAGGACCACAAGAAGGCCTTCGAGGACGCCGAGAAGGCTCTCAAGGAGGCCGAGAAGCAGGCTGCCGAACACCCCGAAGAGCCCGCCGAGGAACAACCCCAGGAACAGCAGCCCGCCGAGGAAACCAAGTCCGAAGGAGAAGCCAAACCAGAGGAGGAAACCAAATCCGAAGGTAATTTGGACGTATTCATGCTAAATGGAACGATGTGCAAGTGGAAAGATGGGATGTTCTCGTTAGTTGAGGGCCATACTGCCGTGCTGAGGAAAAACGCCGTATGAACCTTCAGGCGTTGCCAAATTTCCTTTTATAAATCACGAATTTCCTGGTAAACCTATGAATATTTTCCTTCCAGATTTTCAGATAATTTCGTTCGCAATTTCACCTAAAGTTCCTGAAAATTTCGAGGAAAAATATCCATAACTTTCTTCAATAATAAACATTTTCCAAGAGAAAATTTGGCAACTCTCGAATGTTCATACGGCGTTCTTCCTCAGCACGGCAGCATAAGAATGAATGGGGCTTTAAAAGCGCCAGTGACGTCAGCGGCGAGGAAACCACCGTTGCCGAGAATTAAGTCATGAGCCCTGTCCAGAACGCTCTTGTCGCATGTCCACGGCTCACGAGTTAGCGCTCAGTTCCTTTTGATTCAGTGTAAAATCCCGCTTTTCCATTTTCTCAAAAGGAACTATATCCACTTTCACATTGTTTCTTATCCAGTTCCCCGGGAGAACACCCCATAATTCCACTTGCACATAAGTCCTTTTAGCATAAGTGCGTCCATTTGACGTCTTGAACCGGTGGGATGGTTGTTAAAATTAAGCGATAGACAAATAAGACATATGAGGGGCTTGAAAGACAAGGCGCGTATGTGCAGTGCAGTTATTGAAAAAGTTGAGATATTCGTGATTTAAAGTAGAACCAGTCTTAATGCATATTCTCGGTTCCACCGATAGGATTCTTCTATATTATTTTTGTAATCTTTGTATATAGTTTTGTCTACAGATTTCAACAATTAACCGGCAGGAGCAGTTTAACTACACCGCACGTTATCCTTAATTTTAAAAATTTCCGTTTGTTGACTCTGGGTCACTTTGAGTAACTTTTTTCGGTCAGATCAACCAAAAAAACTCGGATGATTGATACAGTTTTAGGTTAAATTGACCGAAGCCGTTGGTGACTCTAAAAAACTGGAGATGAAGAAAGTGTATTGCATAGCTGGCCCGCGTTAAGCAGAAAAAAACCAAACCACATCAGCTCAATAATAAATTCAACTGGACAATTCAATGTTTTCATGGAAATGGTTTTGCAAATTTTCGTGCAATTTCAGTGGCTTTTCTGCATAGCACGAAGCGAATTCCTTAGAATTTTCAAAGAAATCCGCACAAACGTTCTCTTGTAAAACATTAAATTGCATGGTTAACTTTGGCAATGTCTGACGTAGCGTGGTGTTTTTCTGCTAAACTCGGTCCAAATAATGTGCTCTTGTTTCTCTCGGTGTCACGCTGAGGTTGCGACTCGCGTTCGAGTGACGCACACTGAAAAAAAAAACTCCGGGCCGTGGAAGCCGTACTTATGGGCTATATAGACATACCATCCGCGTTCCGGGCTCAGAGGCCGAAAGTTCCAGGTGTAGCACCCATTACAGTCGAAGCTACGGCTCTAGCACCCAGAACATTCGGCCGCTGAGTCCAGAATAAACGGTATCTTTATATGGATGTATTTCTGTCAAACGGAACTAAGCGCCAATTTGAGTTCCTTTTAAGGAATTTAGAATGCCGGATAGCGCGTTCTGTCAAACGGAACTAAGCGCCATGGAAAAGCATTGCGAGTATAGAATGGAATGAGCCCGACGTCCGGTTCCGCCGCCAATCAAAGCCCCCCTCTATCTTCATCCCCTATGACGCTTAGTTCCGATTGACAGAAATACGTCCATTTAGCTTTTAACTTTTTTATCAGTATGCGAGCCCAGTACTATTTGGATTGCATTTTGCAAAAAGGAACCACTAGCATTGCAATGTTGCTGAGATTGTGCAACTTCTTTTGTCTTGGAGGAAAAACCCGATTATCCATTCATAGTTTCTATTTTACTCGCTAAAAACTGTAAATTTAAGACAAAAATTACCATGGTTTCTCACGATTTCCGCAATTTTATTGCAAAAGATGAAGTTGCACAATCTTAGCATCAGGGTCATTCCACGTGGATTTCTGTGGATTTCTGTGGATCGATGGGTCTGTATGACAATTTTTCTGGAATCCACGATCCAAAAAACATGAGAATCGACACCTCTCTTGACGTTTTGTGCCGTTTTACCAAAATTTCAATTTCAGCCTCCACTTTGGCCGCCATCTTGTTTTTGGGGCCTTGGCATCAAATCGGAGAGTCCACCAAAGATTTTCTCATCCTAGGGACTAAAATGAAGAGAGTAAACTTGCATCACAAACGTGCAAACGGGACGTAATTTTCGAACACATGCTCCCCTGACTATGCGATGAATCGCCTTTTCCCGTCATTTTTGAGCATTTCCGGCCGGTTTTCATTTCCGTTTGGATCCGTGCCCCATCGATGCACGTTAGTAAGGGTTTATTACTCGAAAGTGTACACCTTAAGGTTGAAATAGAGAGAGAAAATTGGAATTTGCAGGAATGCATCGGTTACGGTGTGAAAAATCGTCTTTTTGCGTCAATTTCGAGGATTTTCGATCGGTTCCCGGTTTCTATCAGGCCGTTAATCGATCGGTGCATGTATGGAAATCGTTGATAGTCCGTTTTTATACATGTCAGAGGGTAAAGTGGGAAAAAATATCGACAATTGAAGAGTTCATTATCTAAATATTTGGATTAACGTGTGAAAAATCGTCTTTTTTTACCAATTTTTGGCCTTTTTTGGCCTATTTGAATTTTTTTAGGCCCTTAACCGTCCGATGGCAATTGAAAAAAGTATATCAACCAAAAGTATATATCCTAAGCTTGAAGTATAAAAAAAAAATCGAAAATCGGAGAGACTGTTTTTTAGATAATGCAGTTTGAACATTGAATGGCGAAAAAATCGTAAATTTTAAAAAACTCTAAATTACGGCCATTTAAATTATTTTTATCTCAATTTTGATGGCATATTCAGAATTTACATGAAAAATGGGTCTGGAAACACTCTTTCAAAGTATGATCGATTGATACAGAGTCTCGCTACAGAGAGTCAAAGAGAGGGAAGTCGAGAAAATGAGAATCGCTAAAACGGGCGTTTTTGAATATCGCTAAAATTCACCCCATCTTTGGGGGTCGATATCTCGCGAACGGGGCGTCGGATGGGAAAACCCTTCAAATTAGTTTCTTAGAATGACGTAAAGACCCCGTATACCAATTTTCAGCCAAATCGGAGGGGGTCGGGTTCCGAGCTTGGTTGCGTTGACGTGGAATGACCCATCATTGTGATGCTAGTGGTTCCTTTTTGCAAAATGCAATCCATTTTACCACTTTGCTACTTAAAGTTCGGACCACATACTTTGTATTTTTTTTCAGTTTATACTGAAATTCATGCCTGAATAACATAATTTCTTATTTATCCCGTCAACAGGTGAATCACAACCAGAAGCCGCCGTACCAGAGACACCCGCTGCACCCGAAGCCGCCGCTCCAGAAAAGGCCGCCCCTGAGGCCCCCGCCCCCGCTGCCCCCGAAGCTCCCGCCGCCCCAGAAGCCGCCNGCCGAACCCCAGGAGGCGCCCGCCGACCAACCCAATGACCTCACCAAATCCGGGGCGCCCGCTCCCGGCTCACCCGACAGCGTAGCCGTCAACTTCGGCGAGCAAGTCTCAGGAGCCGCCCCCGCAGACAGCGCGCCCGCCCAACCCGTCGCCAACCCCGATATCGCTGCAGTCAGATTCGGCGCCCAGTTCCCTGGCGCCCAACCCGTGGCCGTCCCCGAGGGCGCTCAACCCTTGCCCGCACCTCTCGCATTCGGCGCCCCCGCCTTCGTGCCCAACCCCATCTTCCGTGCCTTGCCTCCCTATGTTGGCTACGTCCCACAGCCCTACGTGGCTCTGACTAAGAGGGACGCCCCTTTTGACGGGGAGCCCCGCCCTTACAATAACAATTACCCAATTAAAGAGTACCAACTTCCTTTAAGTAGGAGGTTAGGCTCCTCCGCCAAGGCCCCTGTCCATGTTCCATCCGGGATCGTCGATGGAAACGATAATGACGTCGTTAGGCGATAGATCTTTTTCATGTCGCGCAAAAATCCTGAGGCAAAGTAAAATCTCCAATTGGCAACACTGGTTTTTTGCAGTGCTAAGGAAGAACGCCGTATGAATATCCGAGAGTTGCCAGATTTCCACCGATAAAATGTTCATTTTATAGGAAAGTTGTGAATGTTTTCTTTTGAGATTTTTAGGACTTTTCGGTGAAATTACGAGAAAAATTATCTGGAAAATTGGAGGATAAATATTCATAAGTTTACCAGGAAATTAGTGTTTTATCAATGGAAGTCTGGCAACGCCTGAAGGTTCATACGGCGTTCTTCCTTAATACTGCAGTTTTCCTCCGTTGAGATGCATGAGGCACAATCGATATTTGTCGAGGGGAGGTGTCGCCTCACGATCGATTGTTCATTGCCAGCATATTTTCAGCATGCTGATGTTCTAATGCGGTTTGGGTATCGCTGTTGAAAGTTCAGACTTTGCTACACGAGGGATAGTAAGACAAAATTTCAGATTATAGTCACGATTACTTAGTTTCTGAAGAAGTGAATTAGGTTGGTAAATCTACTGAGTCGGAATCCAAGTTATGTGTTTTGAACTTTCATCAGCGTCCAAAACTCCGAAGACTCCCTGAAAATTTTACTAACTATGTCATTACCTGCCATCAAACATGGAGCAACATTCTTCATTCCAATTCTGCCACGACCCTAGGCAAAATATTGGTTCTTTAATTCTTCCTACCTGTGCCACGCAAAAAGTCTAATAAACTCAATATAGAAAGTCTGAATAGTGCTCAATTTTATCATAACTTATGGTTAAAAACAAATTAAACATTGAGTGAATTTGTTGAGGTGACCTCATACTTTTCTGGTATGGAATTTTGGTTCTTCCTATTCCAATCAACGATGCAAGTCACAACATCTTATTGTATCCATCAAATTTATTTTGCTTTTGTCAGAAGCACACGATTTTCATTTATTGTGCCATTGAACTCAACGACACTCCGACATTTAATGTTCAGTGTTAAACTGTGAAGCCCTATTTTCAACTGAATGCCTTGAACTTGGTTTTTTGAAAATCAATCATTGGTTTATTTTCAGTTAAAGCTATGAATTCACCGTACAGAAACTTTGCACTTGTTTTACCTTCGTGATACGTTCTTTCCTGGTTACTTCCAATTTTCAGTCGGTTATGTCATGAATGAAACATTTATAAATTTTCCAAATATTTGTCAGAATAAAAGGTTGTTATCCTCCAGTGAGTATGACTTTCATTGTTTTTTTTGTACCTCTTAAGTTTAAAGTTTGTCTAACAATTTATTGAAAGACACGGGTAATTCCGCCAGTGGCAACTTTCGATAGGTGGTAACTAACAAAGTTCGCTGTGTCAAGTTTGTTCTATACTTGAAAGCCCAACATGGATACGTATTCAGCACTGCGGCGTGGCGTGAATTGCGATATACCGATTGTTATGCCATTTAAACCTATAGTAAAGAATCGATTATTAAGGTGTTCGTTGCGAAAACCCTGTTTATCGATCCTTTTCCATAGGTTTAAATGACCGATCAACCTATATATCGCAAAGCACGCCACTGATTTCTCCATGAAATTTACAGGAGAAGAACGAACAAAAACTGAAACTTCATCTGATCCAATTTTCTTTTGAAATTACAACAACTGCTTAGAAGCTTTCAGTCCTTTCTACCTCGCCCCGGTAAAAATAGGCAGTAGAATCTGTGTTCCAAAATACCATAGACCTACAGCCGGCTGTAAGATTTCCAATAGCTTCTATAGCCGGCTACACAATTTCTTATCGCATTTTACAGCCGATGGTGATCAAGCAACAGCCAAGCGATAAAGTATATGCTAAACGTTGCTAATTACGGATGCTAGGACTTCGTGAGTTTTTGGACTACTGATCTCTTTTTGGGCCGTAGTATCGTGATTTATTTTGCGAGGAAAGCTCCGTACTTTTGATAGATGCATGCCATTCCTAATATATTATAGCACCTTCAGTTTCGTATGATACTGTGCAATACCTTTGATGTAAAATAGTTGTTTCAAGCGCCGTGGCACGCTGCGGCGCAACAGGCGGGAAGCCAGCGCGAAACGCGCATTGGTGCCTACAAACCTAACAGGGATACTTCACGCGTTGCGCAATGCGTGAAGTATCCCTGCTAGGTTTGTAGGCGCCAGTGCATCGCCGCTCCGCTTTGTGTTAGGCTCTAATATTTAATCTGGCGGATTTAGCGTTATTCAACTCATGATTTTGAAATGTTTCCACATCCTGTATGGATTATTCTCATTTTAATTGATGAAAACAAATATGCATTAAAGGAAAATATAAAGTGTGTTTTGTAAATATTAATGTGGTTCCGTATCAAACTTAATGATTTCCAAAACACACGACTTTCTACGCAATTTCTTATAGCCTTTTATAATCGATTACGAAAAAGCAACAGCCAGGCGATAAAGTGCAAAGCCCGGCGATAGGAACTATATCCCGGCTGCATAATTTTTTATCGTTTCGTATAGCCCGGCCGTATGATTTTCTCCGCATTCTACAGCCAGGTATATGATTTTCTGTAGCCTTCTTTAGCCGGCTATAAGAATCCCTATGGTATTTTGAAACGCAGCTCTTATCGTCAATTTTTACCAGGGCGAGACAAACTCATTTTTGGTCAATTTGTTTTATTCCCTTTTCCGCTGACACTCACGCTTAATTTAAACTTTTTGCACTTTTTACACTGCGCGTTTCTAATATCTCCGTTATTTTTTCGCGTTTTCAACGTGCGTGTATCGTGTCCTACGCGTCATTTGCCTCCGGAGAAACCTATTTGCAAGTTAAAAGTCATTCGTGATTTCACATTATAATTTAGTACGTTGTAGAATCTCCGGTTTAATCTCAGGAGAAATGTCTCCATGAGTGCTACGTGGCTTAACCTCCAGACGATGCTCCTTGATCTCATGGGGTAGCCCCCTGGGTTGTATCTAAAAAATTCATGAAAAAAAAGCACTATGCAACTTAAAACTGCGCCGAATACCGCTAAAATGATAGAATTTGGCCCAATATATTTACCTTAAATGACGTTTATGACCAAAAATTAAAATTAAGATTACTCAAATGAGAAAATTCGCGATTTCATCACATAATCTGAAAAAAACTCGCTGTCACATGTCAAGGCTTCAAAGTAGGTCAGCTTATCAATGCACTGGGGAAAAAAAAACACATTGGAGCTAGAGTCCAGACTCTTGAAAACATTGACAAGAAAAAGGACTCTTGATTCAATCAGATTTAAGCTTAAATCAAAAGGAAATCCGCTCAAATTAAGATGCTTGGTTCTTGATGTAAGCTTAAATCTAATTGAATAAAGAGTATTTTTCTTTTCGATGTTTTTGAGAGTCTGGACTCTAGATCCATTGTATTTTTTTCCAATGTGGGTACGTACTGCAGCCATGCTAATAAAACCTTAAAAATGATAATTTTTAAATGTAACTTAATTGCCTCAAGAATATGTCATTTATCTATCTGCATAACTTTAATAAACGAAATTGGCTTTATTAAATATAAAAAGTAACGTTAGATAATAGTCCCATTATCTGTAAAACAAAAATTATGGCAATATCAATATTTTTGTGGGAGAAATTGAATCATATAAGCTAGTAAATTAATTTCTTATTATTCTCCCTTCTGCGCTTCACTTATGCATTACAGAAATCCACTGACCAACTACTTCTTGATGGAAGTTCGAAGATCTCCCAATTTTTTAACCTTTTCCTAAACCTAATTTGAATCAGTGAGAAGGAAAACACACCAACTCGGGAAAATGAAAATAATCAAGACACACACAAAACTGCACAGTAAGTGAAGAAGTTAGTTTCAGAAAAAGATTTTTGTTGCCGATAAAGACAAGTGCTTATGGACACTTTAAAGGTCCAAGTTAAAACAGACGTGCTAAATTCAATGACCTTTATGTAAATTAACTGTCTTTCATGGAAATTGAGTATTTTCGAGTTATCGAGTTGGTGTGTTTTCGTTCCCACTGGTTCATTTCTGACCGGAAAGAGCAGAGCATAATTCAATTTTCAGAAATATATTTACCAGCCTTATCGTGAAACAATTTCACCACTTCACCTAGAAAGTCATACGCTTGTATTTAAACTCCAGATATTCTGTTGCATTTTATCTAGTCGAAAACGATGACTATTCCTCAACGGTCATTGTTTTTGTAACGAATTCCTTGCGATTCATCAGGATTGTTCTTTGCAAATTTTGCACTTGAACGTCAAAATTATTTTCCCCGAAGGAGGAACAAAACAGAGAATGGCCAAACAGAGGATATCTCATTAAAGAGGGTTAAAGGAAACTCTACAAATCATGCTCAGATACCTGCTTGGTTTGCGATTTCGAGAGTCCGCAACGTTGTTATACATTTAAATAGTTTATTTTTATCTAAAATTGACAATGTCGCAATGAAAATTGGTAATGGCTTCCTTCAGCTGCACAA